AGTCGGTGTTGATTCACTGGAACCCATCCCCTAGATAAGCGTAATAGCCGTTTACGGGCCCGCCGAATTTTTTTTCGGTGAGTTCATAACTCGGGAAATTGATAAGCTAGAACGCTCGAATTTTACAGCGATGTTCCCCATGCAGGTCGGCGATGATGCACTGAATCCCATTCCCCAAGTAAGTGCAACGGCCACGTACTGGCCCGCCGAATTTTTTTTTCGATGAATTCATAACTCGGGGATCTGAGAGGCAGGAACGCTGAAATCTTAGGGGGATATTCCCCGTCCATGTAAGTGTTAATGCACTGAGAGCCATCTTCCGAATAAGCGTGGTACTCGCGTACGGCCTCGCCAAATTTTTTTCGAGTAAATTCATAGCTCGGGAATCTGAGAATTTAGAACACTGAAATCTTATGGGGATGTTCCCCGTCCACGTAGGTGTTAATGCGCTGACAGCCTTGCCCCGGATGAGCGTGGTATCCGCGTACGGGTCACCAATTTTTTTTCAGGTTAGTTCATAACTCGGGGCTCTGAGAGGCTAGAACGCTGAAATCTTAGAGGGATGTTCCCCGTCCAAGTAAGTGTGAATGCACAGAGACTCATCCTTCGGATAAGCGTGGTACACGCGTACGGGCCCGTCAAATTTATTTCAGGTTAGTTCATAAGTTGGGTCTCTGAGAAGCTAGAACGCTGAAGTCTTAGGGTGATGTTCCCCATCCAAGTGGGTATTAACGAGTTAAAACCCCTCCTGCGGGTAAGCGTGGCATCTACGTACGGGCCCGGGAATGTTTCTTGCAGGTAAGTTGCTAACCCGAGGATGTGAGATGCTAGAATACTGGAATTTTGGAGGGATGTTTCATGACGGTTCTGGCGGCCAGTCTGAAATTCTTTTAGCTAGAAGCATGTGCCGGAAAAACCAGTACCGTTTTTGACAAAGGTCTGCGGGGATCTTCACACATGCCCGTGCGTTGGCCAGTTATTTCACTCATAATCGCTTCACGCCTCCCAAACCGTCCAGAATCGATGGGTCTGGCGTTGCTACGCCTTGCATGTAAGAGCATTCCGGTAATATTACTAACAATAATACTCGCACTGATACCCCGAACAGTTTGGCCTTGACATTTACTTACTGTGACTGTAACAGCAGAAGGGTACTTTTTAGCTTCTAAAGCGGAAACCTGCCTTCTGTTTGTTTTTTTAGCCTCCGGTCAAACTGCCATTCTAGCTCCCTACACGGAACTGCTTACTCCAACTTTATACTTGAGCTTTTCTCAAAGTCCACACTGACGCGATGCTCATCACGCTTCTTTTGCAGGCCATTTCTCTGGTGGTTTACGTACCGAGACGGTATGGCTGGAGAACCTCGAGCATTTCGTGCAAAAACGGTACTGGAACATATGCCTCAGCAAACAGACAAGGCACTAATTTTTTGGCAGCAGTTTCGGGACGGAAAAATGCCAGCCGGTCTGTCTGCAGTCAACTTGGCATCAGTGCCCGGATCATCTCAAGTCGACACCGCATCGACGATGCCTGGTGCACCCAGTGCCGAAATGGCATCGATGCGTAGACTAAATGGAATTAATATGGCTCGATCCGAGCCATTTAGTATCGATAGTGCACCGAATCCCGGAATGTCTGGTATCGGCATGAAGTCTGTTCCGCCTTTTCCATCTGACATCATTGTAGCATCGAAGAGTGAGCAACAAGGATTCAACATCTCATCAATGCCAGGACCGTCAGGAATAGACATGGAATCAATGCCTGGAGCATATCTGAACAAAGTGGCATATATGCCTGCAGCACACCGGATCAGTGCGGTCAGCGCGCTGTCGAAGTTTGCTCCAGAGTGTGGAATGGAAATGATACCTGAACTATCTGGAACTGGGTAAAGATTGAGTAGCATATCAGTAGTGTAACCGCTAAAAGTAATTACAGATTGTTTATCACTTTACAGGGGAGGGAAAAGAAGTTAATAAGAAAAAAAAAAAATGAAGCGCGACAACTGAACCTCGCCAACACAGTGCCAAATCGAAGCAACTTCAGCGCCATCAGTATGGGTGTCCGCTTTGCAAAAAACGATACATAAGTTACGGATTTTACAAAAACCATTTGCTCGACAAGCACCTCGACAAACTGTAGACGCAGGTCATTTTATAGCAAATGGTCCCATATGGCAACCAATAATTCATATAATTTCAAATATTTTTTTTT